AGAAATCATCACCAGGGTGTTTGGGGCAATAGTACAGCAGGTAGGACCCTTGCCTTGAATGCGGCTGATCTGGGTTCAATCCTTGGCATCCCATATGACTCCGGAGCCCACCAGGAATGATCTTTGAGTATCGAGCCACCAGGAGTGATCTTTGAATGCAGAGCAGGAAGTAAGCCCCGACCATCCCCTGATGTGGCCCCAAACCAACTAAACAAGCAAACCAAAATCATAGCTAAATAGGGCATGTGCTGCAAAATAAATAGGCTTGTTGCCTTCGGGGGACACAGAAGTGGAGGATAAGGGGGATCTAGTTTAGAGGAGTGGGTCAGACAGGAGATGCAGGAACATGTCCCCTGATGTTTGTGGAGAGCCCTGCGGGTACTTTTCCGGCAGGTGCTTAGGACAATGCCGTCACTGAGGAAGGGTTGCCACCCTATATTCTAGTGCTTAGATTATAGGGAAGTATTCATGAGAGTTCGGAGAACAAATGTATGGGCTCTGGCAGCTCCTTAGGGCAGCATGATCTTTTTAAATTTAGGTTTTGGGGGCCACACCTGGCAAGTGCTCAGGCTTACTCTTGGCTCTGTGCTCACTCCTGCTCAGAGGACCATCCAGGGTGCCAAAGATGGAGCCCAGATTGGCCTCCTACACACTGTATTATCTCACCAGCCCAAAACAACATATTCCTCATTACCTGAAGACGACACTACGCAAATGAGATGAAGCTCTGCTGCCGCTGCCCACTTTCCTGCCTGCCTGTCCTGCATCTCCACTGGATGCCGCAGATGTGTGGGGTCCAAATGGGAAGAAACGCCACCCCCCACTACCGACCACCTCATTTCTGCAAATGCTGCAGATTCTCTCCAAGAAGCTATTAAGCGCTCCCAAATAGAGCAAACCTCTCAAGGACGATCACATGCCTCTTTAAACGATCTTTGAATAGTGTTTTCTTTTTTATGGCTGCGTGTAGTTTAACGGCACCAATCGCGATTACTCTAGCTTATGATGAACCCAGATCCATAAAACTCCTGTTCATTCATTATTCTTCTCTTGCTCCTTCTCAAGCTGTTATTATTATTACTATTATTTTGGCATGTAGTGAGAAAGAGGAAGTAGAGGGAGAAAGAAAATAAAAAGGTGTCACATTAACTAGGAGACAAATGAGAAGGGGAATCACTTCTTGGATGACAGCCGCCCTACTAGACACAGTTAAATAGGACAAATATGCTTTAATACAGTGCAAGTAGGTCTTTTCATATTTATTCTACTTGGAAATATAACGATAACCACCTTATGTCTAATGGAAGAAGCGGCTCATTGTTCCAATAGCTCACTAAGGCCAGCATCCGGGAGAAAAATAGTCATTATCATTATTATTATTATTATTATTATTATTTTAGTATTTTGCCAATGGTTCCATTTATACCAGAGTGTGTGAGTTCAGCATGGATAGAGATTTCTGTTCTTTGAATCTACATCATCATGGCTGCTATTCCAGTTCAATTATTAATATGTGGAAGTTATAATTATTTTGAGTATTGGTACAAGATAATTGTAAGCCATAAAACAGCTCCCCATGCCGGCTGATGCCTCTGATCTGCACATGGGTGGGAATTTGGACACCGGAGCTTTGGAAAGAGAAATCTATGGATACTACAGCACTTGGGGTTGGAGGGGGACCCAGAAAGGGTTCCCCCTCTTCTAGATCCCCTCTTCTCTTCTGTGCCTTTTCCTCCCCCTGCCATCACCCGAGTCAAAGCTGACCCAACCCAGGCTGCTCTTCCTCAGTTCCCTTATTCACTCTTTTCTTGCCCCGTCTCTTTCTCATAACCCCTTGCACAGGACAGATTAACTTGCTTTCTACCCCCTTGTCTCCTTGGCCACCCAGCAGTAGCCACTGTGTGTGTGTGTGTGTGTGTGTGTGTGTGGTTGGGGCAGTTGAGAGAAGAAGAGAGACAGGGTCAGGTAAGCTGCTCTGATAGTCTCTGTCTATTCTGGATGCCTGGGGGGGCCTCCTTCTTTCTGAATATCTTCCCAGGCTCTCAGTCCTCCTCTCAATGAGGGAGGTTTAAATGGGGACAAGAAGGGATCACTTGTCGTCGTCATCATCATCATCATCATTGGATCTTGGGCCATACCCGAAGGTGCTCAGGGCCTAATCCTGGCTCTGTGCTCAGGGCTCACTCATGATGGTGCTTGGGGATCAGATCTTAGTCACCTGGAAAGCAAGTGCCTTATCCTCTGTACTATCTCTTCCGTGCTGAGATTGCTTGTTTTTAACCAAGTTAACTGTGATCCCTTAGGAGGAAGAAGGCATGCGGAAAAGGTTCTCATGTTTGCAGAGGGGACTCAAGAGAACACGCTTTGCTTGGGCATCTTCCCATTGTTTGACAAGAAAAAGTACCTAAAATGTCCTCGCTTCGCTGTTGTGCAAACTAATGCTACGTGTCCCTAAAGGTGCTGAGGTCCTGTCTTGCTTCCTTGTCCCTTTCTAGTCCTCCCTGGCTCACTTTCTCCCTTCTTAAACAGTACATAGGAGTGGTGGTGCAGGCAACATCAATATTACTGCAGAAATAAATAAGCATACACAAGAAACACCCCATAATTTTTAAGAATGGCCTCTACTTAAGGCTCAAAATTTTCAAAGGTCACTTTTAGGTGGGGGTTTGGGTCATACTCAGAGGTGCTTAGGGCTCCCTTCTGGCTCTGTGCTCAGGGATAATTTCTGGTGGGGCTGGGGGGACCATATGCAGTTCCAGAGGTGGAGCCCAGGTTGGCTGTGTGCAAGGAAAGAGCTTTACCCCTTTGTACCATCCCTCTGATTCTTTGCTGCCTTTGATTTATTTATCTTTATTTTTAATTTAATTTAATTTTTTATAAAGTTGTTCACAATAATTTATTACATTTAGTCTTTGAACACCAATCCCACCACCATTACACCTCCACACCACCATATTCTGAATGTTTCTACCTCCGAGCCCCAAACCTTGCCCCCAAGGAATAACTGAATTAATTTATTTTGTATTATTATGAATAATCTGCTAAAATGATCAAAAAAGTTTCCTTAGAGGAAACTGTGTGAAGATTGTTGTGCTTCACCCTGGAGCCCTTGAACCTTTCTATAAGAGATTATTAACATATCGCTAAAGGTTGAGCCTTGTGTGTGCGTGCGTGCGTGTGTGTGTGTGTGTGTGTGTGTGTGTGTGTGTACATGATGACACCTCTTTGGAGACCCCAGATATACGCGAACCCCAATACTGGACTGGAACCCCAATCCTGGAATCCAGAGCTGCAAGAACACAAAACCTTTTATTTAAGCCACCTAGACTATGGCATTCTCTGGTAGCCAAGCTGACTAATAGAGCCCATGCTAAGCTACCTGTGTGCATCGGCCCGTGTTTTTCTCCCTTTTAAATTCCGGGATCCCAACTCAGTTCTCCCTCTTCTGGGGTCAGACACGAGAGGAGGAGGTTTCAACTCCAGCCAGCGCCTGACATTTTGGCGTTCCCCTTTCCTACGAACCTTGTTCCTGCCTCTCTGAGGAGCATCCCCAGCTGGCTCAGGCGCCTCTCTTCAGCACCACGGACAGAGACAGACATTTCCGAGCCACAAAGGAGAAGCCGCTGCTTAGCGCTCTCCCAAAGGCAGGTGGGCCGTGAAAGAAAGGTGAGTCAGACAAAGAAACAGTCAGGGATGGAGACTGACTGGCAGGCGGCAGAAGCTGGGGCTCCCAGCCTGGATGCGCTCAGACACAGGGCGACTGAAAACGGAAAGTCCCTTCTTAGTCTGTTGATGCTTACGGACAGGGGAGCACACTGCTTGTGCCTAAGAGTGCTAGCTTAACTCTTGTCAAACTGTCACTGTGATGGGTGCAGTGACACCCTGTAGTTGACAAAGTGCTGGGTCTAAGAGGTCAGGGTGGGCGGAGTAGGGATGGGTGCTGTCCTCTGAAGTTCTGGAGAGTAGCCAGCTGTGGGCTGGGGTCTCCTGTGTGCTTGGAGTGAGCGTGAGAGCTTCAGAGACCCTGAACGTGGGGAGCGGAGGGATGGAGCCCCGGGCTTCGTTTGTCTGCCTTCAGTGAATAAACAGCGTCCCTGGCAATTGCTGATCTCCTTTCTGCTCCTGACAAACAGGCTGTGGCATCTGATGGAGCAGGGTCCTAGCGGCACCGAGACAGATGGCTGGGGACGGAGGGATTGGCGCTTTATTATGGCAGGCCCCGAAGTGACAGCACTCTTTTCAGACGCCAGCCTCTGTGTCAAAGGCAATAGCTTCCCCAAGCCTTCTGCGACCCAGCCAAAACTCCGAGGCGAGGCACAGTACAAGAGAAAGGCAGAAAGGCCCACGAGGAAGGAAGCAGGAGATGGGGGGGGGGGGGCGGTGGGCAGGGTTTCCAGTCAAGCTCCCGGAGAATGAAAACCACCTCCTTCTATCTTTGTCACCTCCTGGCACTGTGCAACCACGGTGCTGTTGATTCAACAGGCATTCAAGAAACAGGAAGGGGGTGGGGTGGTTCTACAGTGGGGAGGATACTTACAGAGGAGAGGCATTGCATGCGGCCAACTCGTGTTTATTTCCAATCACCGACAGGGTCCCTGAGCACTGCCAGATATGACCCCTGAGCACAGACCCAAGAGTAAACCCTGAGCTCTGCTGGGTGTGGCCCCCAAACAAAAACAAAAACAAAGAAAGAAAAAAGGAAATGGGAAAGATTGAGGAAAAAGGTGAAAAAGATGACGAAAGCAGATTTCACTGCAGTGCTTGTGGGGACCTAAGTCCGGGCTGAGAGGAAGACTCAGAGGTGGGGGTTAGAGGGGAAGGGAATGTCTGGAATCCCATTTCCAACTTCCCATGCTGCCAGGTGAGCAGGTCCAGCAACTCAGCGACCTCGCCTTGCCCTTTCAGAAACACCCCACTTGTGTCCTGGCATGAGAGTGGAAGGGAAGAGCATCCCTCCTTACCCCAGACTGCCACCAGGAGTACGGGGGACTCGCACTGACCTTCATTCATCCTCCGAAACTTGTCCTTGGCCATGTAGCCGAGCACCAGGCAACGTCCTCTCCTCTGGAGGTCCAGCTCTGGAAGAAAAGCAAAGGTGGGTGAGCTGGGGAAGGGAGTGCCTGTAAAGACCCCTCTGTGGGGGGATATAGCATTCACTGTGTTTAGACGCTGGGCTGCTTCTCTATTTAACGCACACTTGTATGGAACAATGGTCTAGATATCAGCTGATGCCACATCGGATGCCCAGTCCCCTATCCCCAGGAAAGTGCAGGAAATGGCTGTCCCCTTGGTACACCAACTCTGTTTGCAGGGGTGTCCACCCAACCTGTACGGGCAGGCAGCGGCCAGAGCCAGAAGCTGGCTGCTGAGTCCACATGACCACAACCATTCCCCCAGTGAGGCCTTTCACCTTCCAGGCATGGGGACAGTGCCCAGATCACACGGGGGCCATGTTCAGGCAGAGTTCAGCCAGCTCTCCACATCCGGGAGTCACACAGGGAATCTCAGCAGGATGAAGAAGTGATTGGTGATGGGAAGGGCAAGTCATAGGTAAAGGGATAGGGTGAGAGTGAATTTTGGGGACTCAATCTACATCAGAGCCATAGACTTTGTAGAACCCAGGGGACGAGTGAGCTAGGAAACCTGAGGCACAGGATCTGCTCCCAGAAGACTGACCCAACTGGGAAAACAAGATTGGACATTCCAGGGAGTAAATGCAAGAGGCGGATGCTTGTGCTGCTCTGTGTCAGGTAAGCTGGGCCTGCCTAGCAGCTGAGCACTGGAGTCCCACGGTCTCTATGCAGGAGACAAGGTCTTCCCCGTGGGAACCCATCTTTAGATCATGACTTGTCTTAAGGGAAGTGTGGACTCAGAGGCTCCTGCACACCCACGGTCTCCTCTGACACTCTGCTCAAGCCCAAGAGCTGGCAGCTGGGTCATGGCACAGTCACATAGACAGAGGGAAAAATGGAAGTTCAAGGAAGTGAAACGATGTCCCACAATTATCCCTGGCTCTCTGGCCTGACCTCCGGCTCAGAAGCCACACAGACGTGATAAAGAGCGAAACTGGGCAAAAGGAGAAGGGATGATTTGTAATTTCTGGGGGTGGGGTCTCGGGAGAAATGGCACCTCTGCTGGGGTCTTGCTAAGTCCCCCCTCCTTGGGGGGAGAGGGCGCCTGCAAAAGGCTTATCATGGCAAAGAAAGCCGCCACTTCTGCTCACCGGGGATGCTCTGAGATCCTACCACCCCATATCCAGAAGTCAGAGTAGAGAGGGGAGTGCCCCTCATCTCCAGCTCTCCATCCATGTCCACCCCCTGTTGCCCAGGAACACCATCTGCTGGCAGCAGGGTGACAGGGCCCCTGTGACCCAGAGCTAGACAAAAACAAAGTGGGGTGGGTGGTGGCAGAGTGCCAGGGCCCGGGAGGTCGCTGGCTTTGATCTCCTGATGCTTTAAAGGGGTGTATTGACTAAAGCGAGGGGCAGGTGATCCCAGCATCGCCTCTCCAAAGGCGCTCACAGCCCATCCTTCCCCCGCGCGTGCTTGTCAGGCACGGCCAGCCCGCCCGCCCTCACTTCAAACAGCCTTTACATCTCAAGCGCCCAAATTGATGATGTTAAGTTCCCCTATCCAAGGCCGTGGCCCTTTCTTCAGGGGCTCCTGCTCTGTCGAGGGCCGGGATGGATCAAAGCTCCTTTGATGTTTACTCACTCTATTTGTAGATGCCTCCCAACAACCCCCTTGGAGAGGCAGCCATGCAGCGGGCCAGGCAGGGGCCGGCAGAAGTAGCCAGGCATGGGGCACTGATTTCAGTAGACAATAGCCTCGTGCCTGCGATGCTATTGAAGCTCTGATGTGCTGATGGCAGGCAGTTAACCAGCCCATTCTAATTGCAAAGCCGATTGTTCATCACCAGAACGATACGGCTGCAGACGGCTGCTATTATATTTTCCATTGACTTTTTATCCTGTCTAAGCACATCCGCTGTGGTCCCTATGGAGAGAGCGCGTTTGGGTTCCTGGATGGGGCCCAGAAGCCAGCTCAGCGGGAGCATCGGAGGAGGGAGGCAAAGCAGGATGGATTTAGAACAGTGAGGCGGTGAGTCTCCCTAGTCAGCCCCCTACACTCTCCGGGCCTGGCGCTGGAGAGGCAGAGCGGATGGACAACCTGTTGAAACCAGATAATCTACGCTGGCGCTTTCTGCCATCCCTCTCCAACCTGCTCGACATCAGAGGAAAAAAAGGTGTCCCGCATCCCCCGCCGGGGAGATCGCCCAGGAAGGAAGCCACGTATTTCCAAGCGTTCTCAGAACTTCACTGACCACGATTGAGGTTTGCAAATGAGCAGGAAGAGTCGTTTCAAAAAAAAAAACCTGATTAATAAAAGGAACGGAGGACGAGGCAATTTCTCAATGTATTTGGCTCATTTAATTTGACACGTGTGGGTTAGTCTTAATTATTTAGGTGGCTACATTACAAGGTGCTAATAAGCACGCGCCAGAAATTTATTAAGCGAGAGGACTCTATCGGCGTCCTTGCTGAGGGGTGGAGAGAAGCCTTTGGGATCTTTGCAAGGAGCAGGCTGTGGGAAGGGGGGACTCGCTGGCCGGCCATGAGACAATGCGGGTGTTGTTGCCGGAGAAACACGCGGGGCTGAACTCCAGGTCCTGTGACCTGCTGGGCAGAGTGTACCCGTGAGGGCCCGGAGTGGAGCAAGGATGAGGAGCACGGTGTTTGGAGTGCAGTCAAACAGAGAGAAACAAGGGGAGGCAAGACTCAGCCTGGGGGAACACGGCCAAGCCACACTCCATGCAGAAGAGATGGCAGAGAACAGGGACCTGTCACCTGTGGCTCCCCAGGCTTGTCACACGACATGGGGCAGAGGACAGGCATCCACTGCAGAGAGGGAAGAAGAGAGGTTTTTTTTGTTTGTTTGTTTGTTTGTTTGTTTTTGCCAGGCAGACGAGGAGGCTGCAGGACTGGGCAGAGCGCTGGCAGAATCACCAGAGGATGGAAGGTGTTGGTGCTAAACGTTGACGTGAGTGGAGCCATCTTGATGCAGAGGGAACACCCAGACAAAGGGTTCAGGGGCACTTGTGGGCCTGGGCAGAGAGCAGAGGGATGCCAACTGCAGGGACCATGCTTTGGGGGCAGTCCTGGTCCTCACACAGAGTGTGGAGGGAGGCGTCCTGCTGGCTCTGAGGAAAGATTGACTGCCACTCAGACACGGGGTAGGAACCACACTTTCCCTGCACAGACGGGATGAACTCAGGGGGTTCAAGGTGGCACAGAGCTCAGCTTAGGGAGGTCGGCAAGCGAAGTGAATACACAAATCCTGTAAAGCTCCTGTACGGGAGGCTAGAGAAACATCCTCTCGGTGGGAACAAAGGGACGACTTCACAAACAGGACAGGTCCCCTTCACTTTTGAGGAGGGGGCTCTTTCCTAGTTTTAAACTCTCTGGTCCCTTATACCAGTCCTTACACCAGGGCCTCACGTTTGTGGGCTGACGGTCTCTGAAGGAGGCAGGGCCGAGAGCATGGCCTCTGTGTTGGTTACAATCGAAACCCAGGAAAGAAAATGTGACAATTTATACCACTAAAGGGTCATGCTGCTCACGTTCGAGCCTGGCTCCGACTACTGACTCAGTTTTTGGGGTCCAGTGCAGGTACCCAGACCAGAGAATAGGGGCGCGGCCGTGACAGTGTGGGACTGGAAACATGCCTCTGCCCCCAGAGCCGTGTGCTGAAGCCCTAAATCTAGTATCTAGAAGGAGAGAGAGAGAGACAGAGAGAGACAGAGAGAGACAGAGAGACAGAGAGAGACAGACAGAGACAGACAGAGACAGAGATACAGAGACAGACAGAGACAGACAGAGACAAAGACAGAGAGAGAGAGAGAGAGAGAGAGAGAGAGAGAGAGAGAGAGAGAGCTGACAGTGGCAATCAAGCTAAATTCCAAAACGATGGGTGTCCCCGTGCAGACAGGCCACACCAGAAGGAAAGTCACATGAGCAGGAAGGCCAGCAAGGGTCACCCCTTCCAGCTCCAGGAGGACCCCCTCGCCCACATCGTGTCTGGGGTCTCTCATCTGAGCCCTGCTTGGCTGTGCTATTTTGACTCTGCAGCTATGGTCCAGGCCATGGGGCTCACCCCCTTGGCCCAAGTGAAGCTTACTGCTCACGTATTCAACTGGGGCTGCAATCCCAGCCCTGGTGCTTTGCACATGCTGTTGTCACATGGGGGTCCTGTGAGCTCCGATACGTGGCCTCCTGCTTGCAAAGTGGGCTCTTGGGGCCTCCGAGCCATCCCCCACACCTCCTTTTTTTGGTGATTTTAATCTATCTATCTATCTATCTATCTATCTATCTATCTATATTTTGGTGATGGACAGAGATTACTCCTGGCTTTCCACTCAGGAATCACTCCTGGCAGTGCTCAGGGGACCATATGGGATGCTGGTAATCGAACTCAGGTCGGCCACATGCAAGGCAAATGCCCTACCCGCTGTGCTATCGCTCCAGCCCTAATCTATATATTTTTAACCTGTGTTTATTTTTAATTTATTGAATCACTGTGAATTACAAAGTTGTTCTTGATTGACTTTCAGGCATACAATACACCCACCCCTTCACTTGTGTGCACTTCCCTCTGCCAATGTTGCCAGTTTCCCTCCCACTTTCCCCACGACCCCCCCAGTCTGCCTTTACAGCAGATACTTTTTTTTCCCAACAGATACTTTTTATGTCCTCTAAGCTCCCTGTCCACCTCCAGACTGACCACTTCCCACACCTCCTTTTTAAATCACAGGAGAACGGGGAGACTCAGGGAGGTGGTGGCACATCTGAGTTGATGCAGTGACATCCAGTTGATGCTTAGAAGGTTGGTCCATGCTAAGCACCAAGTCTGATGGACCAGAAGTGTGAAATGGGCTAGTGCCCAGTCAGGGGGACGAGCAGGAGAGGCTCAGGGATGAGAGGTGCTGGGAACAGAGAGGGCACGGGAATCCTGAGAGGTGGCCCAGGAAAGGATAGAGTACAGCTAGGAGGCTGCAGACAAAGGATGTGTGTGTGTGTGTG